TGTCATTTGTGGTTCAGGGATTGAGGGTTCTGCTTTTGCTTCTTGTCCTGCAGAGTGTCCACACATGGGACATGAGCAAGTCTCATGCTAATTTTTATTTTAGCTTGTGACTGGATTAAAAGGTGTGTGTCATCAAGCATGCAAGTTCACATGTTAGCTCTGCCGCTCTTGTGTGTTTACCCTGAGGGTTCATTAATCTTTCTTGTCAGAAAAGTCTTTGTGTGTGCCTGATGCCCTGAATAGTTGTGTTTGGCTGTTTCAAAGGTGATCCTCCTGCCTGCTGGATATGCTTTGGTTTGGTATGATAAATGCTTGGGGTTTTTTTTCCCTCCCCCCTCCTTCTGCATGGTGCATTTGACTGTCAGCATTCCTTTGCCTTTATCTGTGCGCTCTTTAGGATGTCCATATAAACTTGCTAAATGGAATTTTTATTGGCTTGGCTTAATAATCAAACAGTTTCCAGGCTGGTTCTGTCTAGTGCTATGTGGATCCATTCTGAGAAAGAGGACACTGTTGTTTTTTGGGGCTTTTTTCCCCTTTTCCGCAGACTTTTGTTTGGGATATTGCTGATTCAAAGGTTAGGGTTTAATTAATTTCTGGAAAGGCTACTTTGTTAGATTAAGTGAGGCCTGAGTCATATCAGCCTGGAACATCAGCATCCTAATTGGAAATGAGTGCATTGTATCGGTGTATTGTGCAGAAAACCACAAAATGCATAGTGCAAGTGGCCCTTGAAATGTAACACCAAAACAAAGAAAAGCAAACAGGATATTGTGGTTGTGTAGTAAAATGACATTTGAACAAAATGTAACTTTGAGCTTGAAATAGTGATAATCTTTTGTATTCAGAAATTGCCTAAAATTTCTGTGGCTGTCTAAATTCCATGGAAATCAGAAAGCTGTTAAACTTGTACCTTTTGAGCAGGTGATATCATTCCTGTGTTGAACAGAATTATTTTTCATCTGTAGTAAGTGCTTGACTTTAAATTCTACTGGCCCCACATTAAGTGGCCATGCCCACATTTAATGTGTGTTAATTATCAAAGACAATGCAAGTTTGAAAAAGTAAGCAGTCTATAAATCCTCCTTCAGACAGGTGAAATTGCTTCATAAATTATGAACCAGGAACTCTCTGGACCTGGGTGGTTGCCATTTTACTGGGTACTACTTAGTTTGTAAAGTGAGTTGCTCAAACTCTAGCCTAGGAGGAGATTACATGAATTTCCTTTTGCCCAGAGAATGTCTATTTAAAATAGAAATTACAGTGTATTGTCACCTGCCCGGGTTTTTATTGGTGCCCCTGAAGCTTTCAGTGAAGTTGGGAGACAAACAGCATCTCAGGAATGTGTTGTGGTTTTCTGAGTATCATTACTGTCCTGTTCTCTGCCTGAGGTAGGGGAGAAGGATTGTGGTGAGTGAGGGGAGCACAGGGTCACACAGTTGTGCAGGAGGCTGCTGCAGCATCAGCTGCGCTGGGGATTGCTTGCAAAGTGTCCCCTTCATTTCAGGTGGTGACAGAAGTGCTTTAGGTGCCCCTGTGCATGTGCCCAGTATTACACCTGACCTGGGCTGTTCAATCAAATCACTGTTAGTCTCAGCACTGGTATTATTCAGTATTTCCCTCTGAGACACATGGAAAAACTCAGTATGGGGGAATTCTGTATTTCAGCTTTGTTTTGGGCTTAGCTAGTTGTAGTTTAACTTGGGAACTGGAAGTGCAGATTGTGTAATCACACTTTCAGACATGTTTCTTTACAGATTTGGACACCTGACTAAGAATGATCTGTTACAGATTTAGTTTTAGCAGAAAACTGTCAGTGTGTGCCTGCTCGTGCTGGTGAGTCAGTGGTGCAGGATTTATAAATGATCTATCAGAGCCTTGTGTGACTTCTTTGCCCTCTTTGACGCCAGGGGGAGTTCAGCTTCCTTCAGGTTAGATTGCTATTATTTGCTTTGTTTTACAAAGGGATTTTGTTTTCCAACATCCAAGTGGTCATTCTTTAGAGCCTTTTTTCTCTACAGTAATAATTGCAGGGCTCAGATTGTAATTCACCATTTCACTAGTTTTACTGGTAGCAATGGTGGAAAATACAGGGTGAACAAGGTTTGGAGGGTATTTTCCAAGGAAAAAGTATAATCCAAGCAGTTTGGTGTTATGAAAGTACAAGTATTTGAATGCTGTCCATGCTAACAAATTCTGGGTACCATAAGCCACAAAGCAATGAATTTGCTAGAAAGCTTTAAGGAGAATAAATTAAAAACCACTACCAGAAGATGGATAGATAAGGGAACTTTGAGGAATTGGGACCAAATTCTCACTGACAGAGTTTCACAGTGAGGGGAAAATACCCTCATGTTTTCTGAAGCTTGGCTGGGAGCAGTCCTGTTTGATAATCATGTAGCAACTCAAGTTAAACATTCAGAGTTCAAGGGGAAAGCAGTTAGCATAAAATACCATTTTGATTGAGGCTTTTCGTGGCATAAACTGCATTCCAGGGCTTCCATCAGATGACCCATATATCTTTCATCAAAGCATGTTATTTCCTCTTTGGCTTTCTGTTTAATATTAACTCTGTCTACTCTGCAGTTTCTATTTCACTGGTCTGCAGGATCTGTTTCTGACTCCCTCCAAGGTGAATCATTCCTGTCAGGTGGAGATGTGTGGTGCCCACTGCATTCCAGGCTGCAATTCTGCCCCTATCCCTGCAAGGGGGTCAGAGATGGCATGCTACAGAGTTTTTGAGTGCTTTATGCTAGTTTGAAAGGAATATGGGTGATGCTTTTATACCCGTTCTTTTCTTTTGTCTCATTGTAACTGAAGATAAGCAGATCAGGCTGACCAAAGAGCGAGAGTGTATCAGTGCACAAGGGTGTCCCAAAAACCTGCTCATTCCTGAGATACTTGCTGAGTGGCTGACAATGCTTCTGGTTTGACCACTGCCTTCCTCCATAGCACAGCTCATACCACTACATTTTGCTGTCCTTGTTACCCCTGAGTACAGTCACAGATGTCTTTTACTGTCTCTTGCTTCCAAAACCTAAATTAATATTCTGTAATGATTAATTAGTCTCATACCTGCATGGGAATGAACTGTAAGTGCAAGGGATACTTGGCTGTGTGAATGGGTTCAAGATGATGAACTGTATCACTGTGTAGCTGAAGTGTATCTCCAGAGTGAACCACTGAGCAGCCAACATAGATAAACAAGTACAGCACATTCAAGTACATAGCACAGCAGATGTGGCACTCGGGGACATATTTTAGTGGTGAACCTGGCATTCCTAAGTTAATGGTTGGACTTGATGGTCTAAAGGGTCTTTTCTATGATTCTGAGAGAAACCCATTTTTTTTAACCTGACCTTGATCTTTTTTATGCTGGTATAACAGAATTGATGCTGTACATATCTCTAAAATTTGCCAGGTGAACAATATTAACATGTGTCAATGGAAGCATTGGAAAGTCTTGTGAGTTTAAGTGTGGAAGACCTCAATTTCAGGACTGTAGTTTACAAAATCCACTTTTGTTGTCTAGCAGTCTTCAGAGGCAGGTCACTGCTGTAATTTGTTTTACTCATGTGCCAGAGATGGGTAAAGATTGGTGCGTGTTGCCATGGTTATTTTGATACTTCATGTGGTTTATTCTCTGCTCTCCCCATGCCCTCAGTCACTTGCTGGATTCAGGGGTCATTTCCTGTTTGCAGAACTCCTACTAACATCAATAGGGCTGTTGTGCAAACATTTGGGGCTTCAATATGGCCTCTTTTGTCCTTCCTTTTTTTCTTTTTGCTATCTGCCAGCCAGCTGAATAAGCACAATTATCTCTGTGCTCTGTGGGTATAGTCTGTGCCCATGCAGGTGGGATTCTCAAAAGGCAGTCTGCCTTTCTGACACATCTGCTGCCATAAGTTTCCCATTTCTAAATCCAGATCTGAAAATTCAGCATTTTTGTCTCTGCTGGTAGAAGCTGCTTAGAGGGAGATAGATCTGCTTTGCAGTTTTCTGCAGGGCCAGTTCTGCCGAGATACTGGTTGAGCCAGAAAAACCAAACTGGTCTGCTCCTTGGTGCCTGCCTTGTCCTACCCTGTGCATTTTTCAGGAACAGGGAGGATAGCAAGATGAACAAGAAAAGCTAGCCGCACATATGCTCCATTAATCCTAATGATCCTACCCTGCCTTGGTACTGGTTGCAGGCTTATTGTAAAGACTTGGTGTAGTACAGTGAGCATTTGTACTCTTAGTCATTTCTGTGTGTAAGGTGTTGAGACATCAGCCTCCTTTGTCTGTTGTCAGCCTCGAAGAGATGTTATTTCATAAACCAGTTAGCTGAATTCTATTGAATTGACTAAATTCCTTATGTGAGGGTGGTGCTGGGGTGATGGGCGTGTGTATTCCCTTCCTGGAACTGGTCCTTGCACATGCTGTAATACCATTGCTGCCTCCACACCAGTCTGGAGGAATATTTATGCCCTTGGCAGTGACTTTCCAGGCCTTATGAAACTTTTTTTTTGTGGTTCACCAAAACACCTTACAGGCCTGACTGCTCCCTGAGGATTGCAAGATTTTCCCCAGTTGTCATCCTCTGCAGAATTGTTCCTGGACCTGTTGTGCCAGCACCTCTTCACACAACCATTGCTTTGGCAGAATTGCTTTGGCAGAAGGGACAGGCAGAGGCAGTGCTGTTACAGCCATGTGGCATGGGGGGACAACTGCCTCAAGCACCCTGGTGACATTCTGGAGGGTGACCAGAAAACCACAGCAGCCTCGGGAGACAGATATAATTGATGCTCTAATGGAGAGCTTTTAGCTGCCAAAAGGCAAACCTTCCCCTCAGATTTCTGCTGTGCTTTAGTGCCTGTCGATTACTGGGGCAAATGCATTATGTTAGCAAAAATAAGCTTTCCCTGATCAAACGTTTGCTTTATCAGCCACATAAATGCCAGCATGACTCTCTCATTGCTACAACATATTAAACACCTTGGAAATGTTTCCTTAAACTCTAGGTCAGTCTTATGAAATCCGTCTACTTGAGAATAGGAAATTGGGAGAGTTTCAAGATTTAAACACAAAATATGTAAAGGTAAGGAGAAACATAGATTTCTTTTCTTCCTGCTACTACATACAGCCTTTAATGAAGGGCCTGACCTTGCTCCCACTGAGACAATGGAAAGCACTTTGCCATTGTTTTTAATGGAAGCAGGGGTGATGGAGTTGTTGAGTGCTAGTTTCATGGGACTATGCAGCTTGGCTTTGCAGGGCTTCAGGGCGACCTTTATTCTATTTGTGATCATGACCCCAGAGTTTCACTATGAATATTGGGTTCAGGGGAATCCCAAAGTTCAGTGGTGAACACGGTCAAAGCTGTGGAGAGGCAGACTTGTCTCCCTGCTGAATCACAGCAGCATGCCTGGGTTGTTACGTGACAAATGGAGGGCCCGGGTGTTTACATAGTTCTGCCAGGCTGATTCTGTATAGGTCCAGTTTACTTTGGTAATGAGCATAATGATGAACATATAGAACTTGATCATTTGGTTTGGGGGACTTTTTCCTGTTGTTTCCTCCACTGCCATTACAGTTCAAATTGAAAAACATTGGTCTGGACCCTGGTTCTGGATCCAACCTTCAATTCTTGACTTTCTGCCTCAGGATTTCCTTTGAGAAGTGGGAACTGGTTGCAAAATTAGTATTCCAATTTGGATTTGTTGTCCAAGTTTAGGCCGTTCTCTATTTGTCTTTTGGCCCATTTCAGGTAGTATGTGGATTGGGATTCCAATTTTGCAGGTGTTCCCACTGTGGCATGTTTGCATCTTGAAGCTAGGGTTTGATTTAGGCATTTCTCAGGGTCACTGGCAAAAGTTTCTCACTCACTTGATACAGAAGTCCCCAGCAAGAGTGTGGGCTTGAGAAACTGGGATGTTAGGGGTCATTAACTCGTATAAGTATAGCACTGTGAATATACAAAAGAATGTTTCAGTTAGGAGTACTTAGGACTTGTCTGCCCTGGGGATTGCCTTTATTCCAGCCTTTTTTCTCCAGTTATTGGCATGGCTGCGCCATTGCAGACCAGCCTGCTGTTACAGATGCTTTCCTACTCTACCTACCCTTGTTTCACTACTCTGGGGCAAATCCTATGACTGGCTCCTAATGGCTGGAATAAAGTTTAATTCCCACTGACAAGGTGTCTGGACATGTCAGCTCCACTGGGACAGGGATAGGTGAGCTGACTTCCACATTTGCATATCACAATGGGATATACTAGGGTTGGGACATGGTACAGACTCATTAAATATTACCCCCATATGAGCCTTTTTTGGTGTTGAGGCAAAATAGTGATGTTTACATGCCATGACACCTAAAATTAGGTGGACATTGCTATAGTGAATTCCAGAGTGAATCCCAGAAAGCTGTACAGGGCTGTGTTACTCCTGTAAGATGTGCCCTGTGAAGAGGGAAGTGTGTTTCTCTCTCAGGGGTCCCTTAGGAATTTGACACCCAAGATGATGGGTCTCTTAGGGGGACCCTTCTATTCTCCTCATCAATGGGGGTGAGAAGCATAACAGATCAGCTTTTGCTTCTACTCTGGAAAACCAAAGTCATCTTGAGAGAGGGTTCTGGATGCCATTGCTCATGCTGCTGTCTTTTTTTAACAGAGTATAATTCGTGTGGTTTTCCACGACCGCCGCCTGCAGTACACGGAGCATCAGCAGCTCGAGGGCTGGAGGTGGAGTCGGCCTGGGGACCGCATCCTTGATATAGGTGAGGCTATTTCATTGTGGCACCTCTGCTCTGCTGGGGACGTGAGTGGTGCATGCAGTGTTTGCATGAGTGTTTAGGTTTCCTAAGAATCCTGTTTGTCTTTGGGAGGGAAAGAGATCTAGTGCTATAGGTCCCAAGTAGAGCTGTCTTTGATGGCTTCGCTTTCACATGCGTGTTCTGATTGTATGGAAGTGCTTTCTCTTCTTCAATTTAATATTTTTAAAATTTTAGGGGTTTTCTTCTACAGATATCCCACTGTCAGTTGGTATCTTGGATCCCAGGGCTAGCCCGACCCAGTTGAACACTGTTGAATTTCTCTGGGATCCGTCAAAGAGGGCTTCAGCATTCATTCAGGTAAGAGATAAGTCATATTTCTGTGCTAAATACAGTGGTTAGATATCTTTTAAAGACCTGGGGAGACAAAATAGCCAGTACATGAACAACAGAGAAGAGTGGTAATGATAATTACTAACTTGTGATAATCATGTGTAATTAATTTGTAGGATACTCACTAAATCAGTTTGCTGGCTACTTGTTAATGTTGGAGTACTACCTGCTACTGCCAGGATTTTCTTTAAAAAAGTACTCAGACAGTGGTGTTGCTTTCTAAGCATAGGTTTTATTTTGAGAAAACTGTTCATAACCTGTTTTCCTTGCTTTCCTCTTTCATGACTGTTTCTCATTCTGAGCATCAACAGTCTGTTTTTAATCTAAATGAGGGATTTACTTAAAGGATGCTTTTCCTGATGCCCTGTTTCTTTCTGAACTGCTTGTTCTGATTATTTTGTCAAAAGGAACAGAAATGAAAACATACAAGCTCTTCTGCCTCCTAGGTTTTTGTGAGAAGCCAAAACCTCATGTTCAGGCAGTATCTGAAATTCAGATGAGCACAGGTTCCAGCTGTCTCCAGAGATGAGCACAGTTTCTGTTTTGCCAGGTACATTGCATCAGCACAGAGTTTACTCCACGGAAACATGGAGGAGAGAAGGGGGTGCCCTTCCGGGTGCAAATCGACACCTTTAAGCAGAATGAAAATGGTGAATACACAGAACACTTGCATTCTGCAAGCTGCCAGATCAAAGTGTTCAAGGTATGAGGTAGTTTTGGCTTTGTCATCAACTAGATTAAGGCACAGGAACATGCAAAGATTTCAGGTGGTATTGGAGCGATGCAAATATTGGAGTAAAAGAACAGACTTTTAACTGGGAATGCTTAAGATCTTAAACAGGACTCCTGTGCACATTTTGCTATAAACACTGACCTGCACAGCAATTCTAGTTGAAATGTTGCACCAAGACTTGTGCCAGTCTGTTGCACCTCAAACACTACAAAAATACTGACATATTTGGGGTATCCAGTGTGTTTTGATGCTCCTAGGCAATCAAGGCATTAGGGCATCTTCAGTTTCTTTGTTTGAACCTTCCATGAACAATAAAATTTTGTTGTGGAGATCTTAAATACCATTTTGTTGTTGTTGGAGCACAGTTTGTCTCTGTGGTACCTGGAGGAGAAAAAGGTTCAGAGAACAAGCATCTGTGAAGCTCCTAATCCAGGCATGGCAGACCTACAGCTACTTAACCACAAACTCTCCATAGGCCTGTTTGCTCAAGGGATCTGCTGCTCCAGTTTGCTCCTGTGAGCAGTGTCTTTCCTGTTTCTGGAAAGATGCTACAGATGCCAGTTGAGGTGCATAACTTATGGACTGAAGTAGTTGGAATCACATCTCAGGGCTGTGGTCAGTCTATTTCAGAATTGCAATAGGCATCAGTGGTGGATGTACAGAAACAGTAGGGATGCTTGATTAATACTTTTGTCTAGAAAAATGCAGATCTGATCTTGTTTCATATGTAGAATGCATGTAAATCTTAAGGAGGCTTTTGTGAACAGATTAGATAAATCTGTTGGCCTCTGTCTCCAAACTAGTAATGCTTGGCATAAGGGAGAGCCTGTGCTTGTACTTATAGCCTAAAGGAGCAGATAGAAAACAGAAGACTGACAGGGAAAAAATGGAAAAGAAGACCACCCAAGAGAAGGAGAAGTATCAGCCTTCCTATGAGACAACTATTCTCACGGAGGTAAAGTGTTTTAGACACATCATACTACATCATGTTGGGATATAAATTTAAAAGAAAACAGCATCTGAGCCCTGGAGATTGTCTTGTGGAGACATGTGTGCTCAGATCTGAGTGAAACTGAGAGTGAAGCAAAATTATAAAATGACTCACTGCTGAAATTTATGAAAGGTGCCAAAGTTTGTCTTGGGGTATAAACTATAACCCTTAGAAGCCTGGCTTTAAAAAAACACCGAAACAACAACTTTCTCAGTTTTCACCACTGTGCTCCTGGGCACTTGTCATGGCCCTCAGGTGCCCATTGTATGAAAATACAGTTGTCTGTATTTTTTTCAGAACTGCTTGGCAAAAGCTCATGTTGAAGATGGGACACTTGAGCAGATGAATAGGCTGTCTGATTAAATTATTAATCTATTTTTCTGTGAGTGTGCCTATGAAGCTGTTGTTACATGCAAGATTTTGGGTTGTACTCTAGGAATATCTTGTCTTATGTTCTGATGCATCTGGTGTAGAGTTGTGTGTGTTTCTGCCCCTCCCTGTCATTACTAAGATGTTTGTATAAACTTACCATAGGCTGTAGAATTAGTCAGCAACAGGACTCAAGAGATTTAGAAGTGTTGTTCAGCCTCCCTATGGGAATGACTTGTTATTTGATTTAGTTCTTCTTTTTTTGGAGCAGCTTGCTGGACTTCCAAAAATGACATTAATTATTCTTAATTTAAATCAGCTTCCTATTTGTGAGATCCAATCTCTCCCACTCCATTTTCCTCATGTTGCCAGGAGCAACCAGCATGTTTTCTGATTGACAGACCTAATTCTACTGAGTTGGCAGATCCCAGACTCTCCCTGTGAGCTCTGATGCACTTTGACATATTGCGTGGGGAAATGTGGGTTGCCAAAGAGTTAAATATTTGTCAGTGCTTGTGGAGATTATAAAACATTTGCTAGTGTTTGTGGAGATGATAAAGCTCCAAAGCTACACTTGCTGTCTTTTCATCATTGCAAACAAGGCCACTACAGAGCGTTTTCTTGAGCTCTTGGTGGTGGGGGTTCAACAGGGCTAGATTTCTCCTGCTGATTACTGTGGCTTAAATTCAGGACAGAGTCACCAATTCTAGCTGGGTTACTCTGGTTTTATACTACTGTCATGGAATGTGGAGTCTGACCTATATTTGTGAAGGCTTTTAGTAGCTTTGTGTCTGTCTGTCTATCTTAAATTTTCTCCACTTAGTACCCATTTATGACTGGAGCTGTTTGGCTAATAGCCAGAGGTTTCAGCAGGCTGGTTGAGATTCTGCTCTTTTGCTGGTATAAACCTGAAGCAATGCCACAGGAGCATTTTTGTCACTCTTGCCTGGATTTAATTAGGGATTTATAATTGAGACCAGGGGTATTTCTGTATCTTTGCTGCCTTCAGTCTGAGTTGACTTACTGGCGTTGCTCTGACTTACAGCTGTGCACGCTTTGGCCCAGTGTTATTTGGGGACAGGCTTTGTGAAATGGGAGAAAGAAATGTGGAATGCACAACTGGAATCAATCTTGGCCCCCTGACAGCCCACTTGGAGAGCAGTGTAGAAAATCCATGGCCCGTCTCCTCCTCCCAGCAGGAGTGATGAGCTGAAGCTAGTGGCGTGGCAACAGCATGAATGTGGTATTAGAGGAGAATCAAATCCTTTATTTCCATCCTTATGAAAGTTTCCCCACTGCCTTTCTTCCAACAGTGCTCTCCCTGGCCAGATGTGCCTTATCAAATGAACAATGCTCCATCTCCAAGCTACAACAGTTCTCCCAACAGCTTCAACCTCGGAGATGGGTATGTAACAAATACATGCTTTATCTTCCCTCTTGATATGGTAGCCTTTGTGTGTCCGTGCATTTCTTACCCTGCAAGATGATGTTAAGGACCTCCCCCCTTTCTGGCAAGCAGAAAGTATTTTCCAAAAGCCTTTAAGACCTTCCATCCAGGAATTCCCTGTAGTGCAGAGTACTGTTTGTACATGTTTATGTGGTGGCTGGAAGGGGAGCATCAGAGGGCCTCAGGCAACCCCGGTGAGAACACACCATGCCCTGTACCACCAACCCCAGTATCTTCTCACAAGTGTGTAAAGGCTTTCAGCACCTCTTCAGAGTAGGTGTTTCTTCCTTAATTTCCGTCTTGAGGTAGTTTGGGGTGCTGAATTCCTAGGTGAATGACATGTAAAGAAATCCTGTTTGGGGCAAAACAGCCTGGCTTTTGAGATGCCATTTCAGAACAAAGGACTAATGAAGACATGTTTAATTCATTAAATAGCCATCATAATGAGACAGCTCTAGTGATTCTGAAATGCTGAAGATGGTAACTGGTGTCAGAAAGGTACAGAAGTGTCCCTCAGTACTTATCAGTCCTCCCTGCTACATACTTCCCCTTAGGAATTTGGTATAGGCTTTTACTTTTGGTAGGACTCTGCCATCTTACTGCCTTCCCACACAACTTAATTACCATGTTGTATTCATCCATGTTGTATCACTAATTTTCAATGAATCCCCTCAGACTATGAAAAAGAACAAACACTGAAATTACAAAATTTTGTGTTAGTAGAGAGATCTGCTGAGTATTTTTTTCCTTTGGCAAAATCCCTGATATGTTTAGGAGTCCTGTCTGTGTTTAGGAGAATTTACTAGAAATGTGGTTTTGCATGATTTATGCCACTTGACTATGTTTAAGATAACACCAGGGTTGAATTATAAGGTCCTTTATTCAATTTTTTAAAAGAATTATTATTAGACAATGGATTTAGTTAGGGTATTTCTGGCTCATAGAAATTTCAAATTCAAAATTGTAACCTACCACCCTGTAGGTTACAATTTTCTTGCTTAGGTGATGTCACATTAGTGAGTCAACCGTATGGAAAAGCTTGATTGAGGTCAGTAAACCTGAGGTTTTTCTCTCAGTTTTGAGGAGAACCTCAACTGATGAAAAAAAGACTCAGGTAGAGAGTGTTTTTTTAAAATTCTTGTTCCAACTTTTGAACACCTTTTTAAAGATCTGATAGACAAAAAAAAAGCTAAGTTGGATGTAACTTGTGACAATTGAGTCAAATAGAGGAGGGGGAAGAGGATGGACACTGCAATGTAAAACTTAAAATAATGTGTTTTTTTTCTCTTCCAACTTTATATAATTTCTTTTAGCAACAGTTCTCCAACCCACCAAATGGAGCTCCTGCCTCCCACCAATGATGTAAGTACTTGAGATCATGTTAATGTGGTGCTTTTCTCTTTTAGGACACTGGTGAACAGTTCATTTCAAGACCTTCTTATTCTTTTTGCAATGTAGCATCTCCTTCCTTCTGCTTCTATTCAAGATGCCCAGCAGTGGCTTCATCGTAATAGGTTCTCTCCATTCTGTAGACTCTTCTCAAGTTTTTCGGGTGAGTTTAAACAGTCCAAATATTCTGGTTTTTTTCTCTTCTGTAAGTGCAGCTCTTCTGCTGGCCACATTTGATGGGATCCTTGGTCTGATCCAGTGTGGTTGTTCTTTGGTTCTTAGATTAATTACCAGTTAGCAAAACTGTTTGTAGACCTACAGAGTAAGTAAAAATGGAAGGAAATAAGTTAAGATGGAAGGGACTTCCTAAGTTCAGGAAGTGCAACTTCAAAGCAAGTCCAGGGCCTTGTGCAGTTGCCTTTGAACATCTCCAAGGCTGGAAATTCCACAGTCTCTCTAAACAACTTCTTCAAATACTTAACTATTCTGACAGTGAAAATGTTTATTCTTATGTCTAATCAGCACTTCATCTTCTGTCTGCTGCCTCCCATCCTGTCCATGTGCATATTTAAGAAGCATCTGGCACCTTCACTGTGCCCTCCATTCAGTAGTTGTACACACCAGTAAGGGGGTGGAAGGGGCAGCTGTTAGCGGTGTTGAAACCATGAGGAGACTCTCTCTGACTTGCAGCACGATGAAATAAATCAGTGAATGTGACAGTTACAGAAGACCAGGTCATTTAATGGCCAGTGTGAAATATCTGGCTTGTTTATGAGTTGGCTGGAATATTTTCCAATGCAGCACTGTTCTTTTGGCAGCTTCCAGCTTTCAGTTTCACAGTGATTGATTTAAAGTGCACACCTCTCTGAATTTGCAACTTCTCTCTATAAATCGATCTGGTTTAGCTTTGTGGATTCTCTGTGCCCTCTACCCCTGCCCTTTTCTGCTGCCCATACATACTATTTGGAAGCTGAGATTTGCTTAACTTCTGAAGAAAAATCAATTTGAAATATGTAGGTGCCGACTTACTGAAGATGTCCAAAGAAGATTTTGTTCAAATCTGTGGGCCTGCTGATGGAATTCGGCTCTTTAATGCAATTAAAGGAAGGTTTGTACTATTTCCTTCCTATTTTTTTATGATCCCTTGATAATTTCAGTGTTAACTAGAAGTTAATCCTGGAGTTGTAGTATTTAAAATTCCTTTTAATACTTGAGAGACGTTCTCTCAGGGACTGGAGATCACAATGATATTCAAATCCAAGCACAGCTCAGAAATGTTGCCAAAACAAAGCAGCATAATGTGGATCTCTAGTGGTTTATTTGCTACCAGCTGATAGCTCGCATCCATTTCATGAGATACACAGCCTACACTACCCTATGCAGCTCATAAATTCTACAGCTGAGCAGGATTTAACTCAGTAGAGGCAGGTATGATGAACTGCTTAGCAAGTGCTGTAAACTGTTTATCCTTATCTGGTGTTGAAATGATTAAGATGCTCTGCATCACCTCCCAGGAGTCTCTTGCTAGACATCCTAGGCTGTCTAGTCACCAGCATCAAGACTATCCCTTAGTTTGTTACTTATGCACGGCATGAATGATTCCATCTCTTATTGTCTGATAGCTGACTTGGAACTTCCAGATCTATTTCAGATCTACTCAATAACTTACTACTGTCTTTGATTAATCCATAGAAATGTGAGGCCCAAGATGACAATTTATGTCTGTCAAGAACCAGAGCAAAACAGGTCCCATCTCCACCAAAAACGAGAAAATGGAGATGGCAGTCTTTGTGGTAAGTTCTTATGGATGGATTTTGTTAAACACTTGCCTGGTAAGAATGCTGCTTTCTGCCTGAGCTCCTGTGCAGGACAGCTTGGTGTCCTTAGTGTTTGAAGGGATCCTGTTTATCCCAGTTTTGCCACTTTGGTTGTGGTTTCACAGCTACAGATTCCAAATGACACTGTCTGCCTGGGGGACAGACCCAGCTTACAAATTATCTGCAGAATGCCACAGCAAAATCTCTATTCAGTTCTTAGTAGCCACAACAGCATTAGAAACCACCCTTCCATCCACAATTTGCTTTAGATTATGTCTTCTTGTCTGAAAAAATTCAGGGAAATTAAAAATCAGTATGTCTTAAAGTAATGTTATAATTCTTGAAAGTTCAAAGCTTTTGGGAATTTTTCATCCCTCATGACACAATGTGCAATCAAATGAGAACAAAGATTATCCTTAAATCTTGCATTTAGTAATAAACAGGCACAGCCTTCCTACCTGGTAGCTATAATTTGGATTTCTAAAGCAATACTGTCATCCATGGTGTTACCTTATACATTGTATGTTCTAGTTTGTGCCTATGGAATCAGTGAATGGTGTCTAATAAAAAACTGCTTTTGTGTCACACAGCATGTGTTTTACTATTTGATTGAATGTTTTTTTTTAAACTTCAATAATCAGTAAAAGAGGATTATCTAAAAATATAAGCAGCTTTATGAGAAGGCTGTTTTACTGCCTCATGATGCAAGTTGTAATTAGTCCCCATGTTTTCCTCTGGGTAAAAGTGATGTTTTAATTGCCTGCTGCATAGAAATAGTGGGTATTTTTCTGCAAATCATCAAGTCAGATATTTGGAGGATGCTTTAAAATACTAAACTTGTTTATTCCACTTGAACCTTCATCTTAAACCCATTTGGTTGTTGATGGTGAGTGTCTTGGTGCCATCTGTATTTGCTGTTCTGTAGCTGCTTTCCACTTGTTGCAGTGTATCATGCAATCTTCTTAGAGGAGCTGACCACGCTGGAGTTGCTGGAGAAGATTGCGAACCTGTACAGCATTTCTCCACAGCAGATCAACCGCATCTACCGGCAGGGACCCACGGGCATCCACGTCCTAGTGAGCAATGAGGTGAGGGGCTGAGGGCTGCAGCTTGGTCAGGGGTGCAACAGTTGTCTGACTTCTTGGAGTTAGAATGAGCTTTCAAATTATGGAGTGTGTCTTCAAGGGAGAATTGTAAAGCCGTTAATCCCAACAAGTTAAAGTAGCGAATCAGCATGCACAACACTGATTTTGGTTTCAAGACCTTTGCTTTGTAAAAGATGTTGGGGTTTTTGTTTGCTTTTTTTAAAGTAAAAAAACCCCAAAATTGGTCATTTATTGCGCTCTACCTGAAAAGAGGTTGTGGCAGTGTGGGGCTCTGTCTCTGCTCCCAAATAACAAGTGTCAGGATGAGAGGAAATGGCCTCAAGTTGTACCAGGGAAAGTTTAGATTGGGTATTAGGAAAAAATTGTTTATTGAAAGGGTTACCAAGCATTGGAACAGGCTGATCAGGGAAGTGGTTGAGTTACCATCCCTGGAGGTGTTTAAAAGTTGTGTAGCTGTGGCACTTGGGGATATGGTTTAGAGTTGGACTTGCTAGTGCCAGGTCAATGTTTGTGCATGGTGATCTTAGAGGTTTTTTCCAACCTAAATGATTCTATGAATTTCTTTTCATTTTGGCTACTTACACACATTTTGAAGTAAGGATCTAAAGAACTTTTAAAATTCAATAGGTAAGTTCCTCAAAGAAGGTAAGTTTTAAAATCTGTAGGGCAATTAGTTTTACATCTTGGCCCGTGTTTCCAGGCACTGGGTCTGTCACTATATGCATACTATAAGTTATGGACCTCTGATACTGTTTGTGTCCCATTATATGATGCCTTAATTTAGTCCATTCCATTAACTTACAGGTTAATAGTGAGTTGCCCTTCCTCTTTTTCCTCTACTAAATTACTTACTCATTCATGCACCAGAATCACTTAAGGAGCTTCATTTAAAGAAGCATTGTTAAAACAAATGAAGCAGAGCATAGGTCTCAACTGGAGCCTAAATGGAAGGCTGTAATGCTTATTCCTGAAGTCTCCTTGCTATTCCAGCCTGATTAAATCTGAAACTTCAATGCTTTATGGATGCAAAGTGCTTGGAGGCAGCTCTTGGTAGGGGAATTGCATGAACCAGCCTGGGTATAAGGCTTTAAGTATTTGCTTAAGTCAATTATTAACAAGTTCTATTGCTTTTCTAATATTTTTTTCTTGTTCTAGTACTACAGTGGCAAGAGTGTGGCACTCTGTGAATGTACTTCATGCATCATTAGGCAAAGACACACAAACTGGCCAGAGAAGCTTGATTTGGAGGAGTAGGGGCTGGATGTTAAATCCAAAAGAGTATAGGGAGATCAGTCCAAGTTGAAAAGGGTGTTTTGATGTGAGAATTTACAGATGAAAAAAAGCACTTGTTGAATGATACTCAGTAGCTAGGAGAAGGCTTTTTCAGAAATCTGGATTTCATGAAATGATCAGAGAGGTTCAGGTCACACCTCCCTTCTCTGGAATTGTGTCCAGCATTTGCCTCAACTGTATGAGACACCTCCTGAAGGTAATTTACCTCTTTTGTCCCACATAACTACTCTAAGATGGGAGGAAGCATTGACTAAGGATGAGGCTTAAATGGGCTTTTCATATCGCAACTGAAATAATCTTATCTCCTTACTTAAGGCTGTCACTAGAATCTGCACCTCTTCTGAAAATCTAGTTGCCTCTCATGAATAGCTCAATAGCTTTAGGTTCTAGTCTTTCTTCCCATGATTTGCCTTGCTTCTTATAACAGTTTCATTACAATTCTTCTTCCTTGACAAAATACAAAAAGGTAAATGAATCCTACAAGCACAGCACCTGTACTTAATGTCTGATCAGAATAGCCAGATGGATGCTGCTGAGGTGGCTTTTCAGTAGCAATTCCTTTATTCAGCAGGGAGTCCATTTCTTGGGGTTTACCATTTCCAGGTTTTCATTAAATGCTGATGTAAGTTCAGCTGAGCTCCATTGTTTAGCTGAATATGTAATTACCACTGTTGGATTTTTAGGAAAGGGACTACCTTAATCCTATCTAAACTAGTACAGCTTCACTGAACACAGCAAAGGGTGTGATCTTTAATAAAATAATTGTAGTGGTATAGGAACCTTCAGGATCAAGAGCTGCAAAGAGGATGGTAAAATGCTGAATAAGCTAGATCAGTTTCAGGCAAGCACATTTAGTGTGAGCTTCCCTTAAACACAGTAGCCATTGCAAGGACCTTAATTGATCAGTCATGTACATTAATAATCTCATGGGCAGGGTTACTCAGGACTGTGCAGGATTAGACACCAAATGCTGTTTAACACCTCTCCTCTAAGTCTATACTGGCTCTGAAAGAATTGTGAATTTAATTGCTAAAAATGTATTGTGTTGGCTTTTTCCTTCTGCCCTTCAGATGGTGCAAAACTTCCAAGACGAGTCCTGTTTTGTTATCAGTACATTGAAAGGTGTGTATTGCTGCTGCTGTTACCTGTTTCTCTAAAGATAATTCCTCCTTTCAGTTGCACTAAATGTTATCACAAACTCAATGCTGTTATCCTGAAAAGATAAGTAATCTAATCTAGTATAAGTCAAGCTGTTGACTACACTATGATAGAATGATCAATGCTTTACTTTCAGTTACACTGCTACAAAAATTCCATAAATGCATTGACACCACTGACATAAATGAGCAGGAAGCCTTTGAGTAAAACAATAAAATATGATAGTATGTAGGAGTTTTTATATGTAAATTATTTGACTGAGATGTTCAACATTGTTTTTCATGAGTGGATTTTGAAACAAGTGTAGGAACTATTGCAAACTGCCTAGAAAGAAAATCAGTTCTGTATCTGTGGTGTTTCTTTAAAGCAATGAAAACATGTTTTACATTTCTTTTTATAGCTGAGAGCAATGATGGCTACCACATCATTTTAAAATGACCGTGCTGCACAGAGAGACTTTAATGGCCTAAAACTTAGTGCCTCACTGAGATTGCTACAACCTAGACTGGAAACACGAAGAACCTTCTGGATAAATGCTCCTGTGAACTAAGAATTACCAAACAGCTTAAGAAAAAACTTGCTTTTACAGATAGAAATTTTTGGTGGTGTGTGATTTTGATGGGTTTGGTTTTTTTGTTTGTTTGGTTTCATTTTTGTTTTGGTTCTTTTGGTTTTTTTAAGCTGGAGCTGAGAACATCCTCAAAGCTTGTACATGTTTTTTCCTCCCTCCCTTCCTCTTCAGTCTTGAAAATTGTAGAGGTTTCTGCTTATTACTTAGAAACATCTGCCTTGTACTAAAGGGAAATGAAAGATAAACAAATCCCAATTCTCTTCACCCCTCATGTTCAGATGAATTGATTTACTTACAGTTCTGAGTGCTCTCTTGCTTTCAACACACACCCTGATGCTGATGGATGTGGACTCCCCAGGGTTCCTCTTGTACTCTTTGAGGTGGAAGGCTTGGGGCTACCTCCCAGAACAGATTGGGCAGTGCAGAGGATGGGTTTGGTGCCCAGCCTTCACTGAAGTGTCAGCTCTGGAAGCCCACCACACTCTGCTGTTCTGCACCTGCAGGTGTGCTCAAAGCAGAGACCCTGGTCCCTCCTGACAGAGCTCCTGTAGTACCAATCCAGCAGAGCAGTTCTGGGGGGGTTCAGTGCAGGATAGGCAATTTGTGGTGAGCAGTTCAGGACCTTGTTATCTGTGGCTTAAGAGTACTATCCCTGAATGGAGCATATGAAGGTTTTCTGAGGAACTCTTTTGAGCATTGGAAGCTATAGTGCTCATGACAAATTCATACTATGGATTTATTCTACTCTACAAATTAGTGATTAACTGCTATCTTTACTGTAGCTGGGAATTAGAAGTTATAATCTGAATGGATTTTCATCCTGTTACTGAAGTAAAACTGTTTTGATCAAGACCAGGTAACAGATCATCTTAGTTGCTGCTTCTTATATTCTTGCTCTTTTACCTTTGACCCCTGTTTCCCATATCTGTAACTGTGATCAGCTCCACCTGCCCTTGGGCTTTTGGGACTCCATCCAAGCTCCATTAAGGTAAAAAGGTGGCTTCTGCTGAAGTCAAAGGCAAACTGCATTATACCTTTCTTGCATGGATGAAACCGTTTCACTTTTGACAGCTAACTAATGTGGCTTGTTTCCCCAAACTGAGTGTCCATTTACCATCAAAATCTGATTCTTGAACATTTCATTTCATCCTGAACTGACATGGAAAGCTGAAATACCAAACATTTTCCTGGAATGGAAATTTTTCAAAAAATGAGAAATTGTCAACTGGAAAACACTGAATAAAATGTTCCAGCCTTTTGAAATGGAAACATTTAATTAAATCCATTTGGCCCTTAAAGCAGCATCAGTTTGAGCTACTGTTGCAGCCCTCAGAAATTGTCATTCAAGTGCCTTGTGCGCCATGTCTCCCTTGGGGCTGAGCTCTTTGGCTGAATCACAGATCCCATGATGCTCCTACCCTGGGTTAGTCAAACAGGGAATGCGTCATGAGGGCTGGAGAGGTGCCCAGGGAGAGAGGGGGCCATGGAGCCCTTGAGTTACAGCTCCCAGCTGACACTGGAGGAATTCGGACAGACACGGACTGATATGTCTCTGACAAAAGTTATGTGTTTCAAGTGTTCCCAACAGAAATAAACAGCAAAATATTGAGAAAAGCAACCTTTTTTTCATTAAAGCATCAAGTTTTGCGCAAAAAACCCCACCCATCTCCACTGAATTTTTATTTTTTCTTAACACTGAAAATAATACTAGAATAGAAAACTTGTGTTACAATGGGAAAACCTTCAGCCAACTCAGCTAATTGAGCAGCAATGCCTCCTTAGGCACGATCTTGGCTCAACTGACTGTCCTGGATGCTCCATGAGTTGTAGGCATGCAAAAAGGATGTTTAGGCTTTGGGATGTGGTGGTTTCCCCCTTCTGTAATGAAGAAATTGAGGCTTCTTGGTTGAGAACCAAACTGTGTGGGCAAGGAGGAGCTCCTGGCCATGGAAGCCAGGTTGTGGCCACACACAGCTGCCTTTCAAAACAGTGAATGAATTCCAGATGCCTTTGTGAGCAGGTGGGACCAGTGTGCCCCTGTGCACCAGGAGCTGCTTGATTTTTTGTCTAGAAGGTGCTTTGGAAGATGGATGTTGGCTGTGGTTTTTCATCCTGCTGTGTAATACTGGCCCAGTGCATGGTGTGGCTGTCATGGGCATGCAGCTCAGGTGAATCTGACCTTGTGAGAAGGGTTCTAAATAGACCTTGAAGTTGCCAGGGGTGTAGCCTGTGTCATATTCTATCCACTTGGATGTGATAGCCCTCTGACTGAGGGGACACAGCAATACTGATACAGTAGAGTGAAGGAAGGATAGAGGTGGCTTTGCTGCCAGAGTTAGGGACTGAGAGCTGTTTGTTTGTTATAAAATGTCTAAATTCTTGATTCTTTTAAAAACCAACTCTTTCCTGTAAGGAATTATATGCCAGAGTCCTCTAACTGTTTCAATAGTACTTGCTTGATGAATTTTGAACAAAAAGAATTCGCTTAGGGCCTTCCTGTATTTAGATTTTTTAAAATAAATAAAACAAATAATTTTAGGATGAATTTGATATCTTGCTCTCGTGCTCTAAAAGGATATACCAGAGTAAACAATCCCATAGCCTATGTATATTTTCCTATGGGTTGGCTCTCTGTGAGCCTGTTGTAAAGCTGTATGGCTTAGGGGTGTGTGTAATACCTATCCTTATTTGACAGAGTGGTTCTAGTCCTTGTTTAGCCTCTGTAGCCCCATCAGGAATTTGGAGGTTTGTGATTGAGTAACATACATGTCCATGAAGACACAGCATGGCAGGCTTGGTGTCCAGAAGACTGCTGAGTTACTTCAGCTTAGAATCACACACTGTCTTGAGTTGAAAGGGACCTGAAGGGTCACAGAGTGCAATGCCCTGGTCCTTACAGAAGTACCTAAAACTGATCTTTGTTACTATGAGCGTCATCCAGAGCAGCCCAGGGGCTCCTGGAACGCTGGCAGGCTTGGTGCCATGACCAGGGGCAAGGGAGGTCCCTGGGCAGCCTGTCCCAGTGACCAGCCACCCTCCCAGTGAAGAACCTTCTCCAGTGTCCAGTCTGAACGTGCCCTGATTCAGCTTCACTCCCTTCCCTTGCTTCTGCTGCTGGTCACCAGAGAGGGGAGATCAGCACCTCCCCTCCCCTGCTGCCCTTGAGGAAAGTGCAGAGAGACAAAGAGAGAAGGAAAGACTTGTCTCACCTGTGTGTCAGGTAATCTTGACTGTCCTTGGATCTGCCATCCCTGGAGGGACTTGTTTGACCCATTTGTGGAAGTGACAGCCTCCAGAAGGAAACTTTTGTTTCCTCAACAGTGGAGGAAGCACAAATGTTTAGTCTGGGATAGATATCTAAATTCTATATAGACTAAAGGCAAGGGAGGTGAGTAGCTCCCACTCATCTAAATAACATTTAGTTTTTTTATTAAGTGCCTGTTACATTTATTTTTACTCTTTTTTTATAGTTGTTGCTTCTACTTCTTTCTTAAAAAGTTAGAAAACCTACTCAAAGTGATTTAACTGGAACTTCTTACAGCTATATGTGAAATTTGTGCAGCAGAACTTTATAAGGACTGGGGCTTAGGATAACAGTGAGTAACACTGTTTATCAAGCTGTCCAGCTCTTCAGTCGTATGTATGATGACAGCCACTATGAGTAAAAGGGCTTGCTGGGGATGAAAAGGCAGGATCATTATGTGATTAATACCAATATGACTCTAGCCAGTACTGCAGAGAATAAACTTGCATTCTTGTTGGATCTGTACTGTCTGTTTGAAATGTCATAAATTGTGGCATTTTCTCTATCAACGGAGTAAAATGATAGAGATCAATTACTATGACTCTGATGATGTCTGGAAAACTCTCAGTAATGCCCATGACACACACCTGCAGGGCAGAGAGAGGGCAAACAATCTGGTGATAAAATCTTGGCCATCTGATTGAGGTGGCAGGACTGGTGCTATTAAAATTAAAGCTCCTGTTCTTTCTGCTGGCCCTGCATGGTTAATTGGCTAAATTAGAAATAATCATTCAATATGGAAAATACTGGAGTTCTCATTGTCTTAGTGTGAAATTTAATGGGCTGAAATTTCAAGACTTTGAGGTGGTAAAAGGATTCTTGCATTTGAGAAGCCCTGAATGGCACTCTCCTTATAATGTAACATATACATATATATGCATATATATATACATATATATCCACATACATACTGTACTGTATCAACACATATTTGTGCTGAGTACATGTGTTCTTTGGCTTTAACTGGTACTCTGCTTTGTTTAGTTGCAGTTCAGTGTAAAAGACTCTGGTTGATCAAGCTTCAAAACCCAGCCATTCCTTGGGTAGAAATGTGAAAGTCCATAGTAGCAACTAGGTGATTTGGACATGGTACACTTGGAGGGATGTAAGTTTGATAAATTTCTGCAATACAAATCCCAGGCCTTGGTGAAGATGAGCATATCCTTTCACTAACACTGCAGTTCTAAATGCAGCTTCTGAAAATTAGTTAGAGTAACAGAGAAATAGATTGCCCAATGCTTAGTGAACTAGTAAGGCTACTCCATAAGCAGAACAACCATACGATGACTTTTCCTAGCTCAATGTTGTATTGCTTAAGCATTGGCTGTAATTCTAACAATCATCTGGTGGATGACTCAAATAGGTTTTTTTGTCTCTTATCTGTTGGGATTTTCTTTACTTTTCAAAGAAATGCTTATAGTCAGACTGTAGCTTCTCTTTCTCCTCCAGTTATGAAATGGTTTAACTTTATGCTAGTAATGGAAATATTTTTATTAGATTATAATCTCTTTGACAGCACAGGGTACTCAGAGTGGGGAGTGTTTGCTTTGATCATCACTACTGTGGGTGAATATGAGAAGGCAGACTGGAGGTGTATCTAACACCCTTGGCTCTCTCTAACAAATGGGTTAAGCTAGTGCCTAATTTTTTGTGCATTTTTGATTTGTACCTTTTTTTTCCCCATTCCCTCAAAATTCTGCTCCCTGGCAGGGGGTGCATTG